TGTTCTCTGTCCTCATTTACACTACGTTTCTGCTGTGGTCTGTGGTTGATGACCTCAATATGAGTTTTGACTGTTCAGTGTTTTGGTTTGGGGAGGTGACTTTTATTTGGGAAATGCTGTGACACAGGAGAAGTAGGGCCTAGATTGTAAGCTCTTGCGGCAGTCGCGTTGTTTCTGGGCTTCGGTTATTTGTGAGTTTTGAGGTGCTTTGCTCTTTCCCGTGTGACCTGCCCGCTCCCTGGAACTCGGGGTCTGTGCGGGACTCGGGGCCGGAGCGCCCAGCCCTGGGGGTGCCGAAGGAGCGGCCCTACTCCGGAGGACGACTCCCTGCGGCGTCGCCGAGGAAGCTGACGACGGGACCAGACTTCACCCGGGACTGCGGACGGGCTGACCTGGCGGGACTGGTGAACCCGGAGGCGGGAGATGGCGCTGTCTGTGTTTCGGGACTTGACTTCCTTTCTGTGTGAGACCAAAGGAGGAGAGATGTATTTTGTTCAAAGTTTAAATTTTATGTGGCACACTATCTGATGTAACCTGTCTGGTCAGTTTGTTTGGACAACCTAACTCAGCTTTATTTGACGTGGAACCTAGAGTAGGGCATGAGATCTTGGTATTCTGTACAAGTTGATGTCAGACCCTGATGCATTTCAGGGGACAGAAGGAAAGGCATTTGCAAAGGCCCTTGTGGGGCTAGGGGGGGAGAGCAAGGACTGTCTGCATTGGACCCTAAGACGCACAGGGACTAGGTATCTTTAAGGTTTGTACATTGTCCAGCTATAAGTTCATTTGAGTAGCAGACCTGACAAATATTTGAGGTCAAAACCCTACCATGTGTTTAAAAAAAAGTTACCATGTTAATAAAAGTATTCATTTGCTTGAAAAGAGGGACGACCTAAAAAGTTATTGCCTAGGAAACCTCATTTCTTTTAGAATGAACGTCGTTGCCAAGTGGAGGACAAGTTCTTTGCTTGGTTCACTCTCAGCAGGCCTCCAACCCCGGGGAAGGCTGACCTGCGCACCGCGCTGGGGCCTGAGGGAGGAAGGAACCTCCTGTTCTGTGGGCAGAAGCCACAGTACTTCCAGTCTTTCCACTTAGAAAACGGAGACCGTTCTACTCCAGTCCTGCATAGAGTAAAGTGGTAGGACGTAATTATAGCGAGCTGGTAGACCACCCCTTCAGAAGTGAAGACCTATCCCCCTGCTGCTGCAGGTGTTGCTGACAGGTGGCCCTCAGCTGGTCCACTCTCTAAGAAGTATCTCTGCCTGAGAGCTGCCTTAGCCAAGGTCAAGCCCCCTTTCCAGGTGGCCCATATCCAGTGGTAAATGGGGTAGGGGTCTAAGGGCTCTGTCCCTCTCACTGCAACTTGGAACCACTTTGAAGGGCATCTCAGCTTCAGAGCTCCCTATGGGGTCTGCTGAGGCTTTGTTAGGACTGCATCACAGCCCCCCTTCTCCCTCTGTCCAGTCTTGGTGTCCTTCCCTTCCACAGGTGTTAATCCCTAGTACACTTTCCCACACTTTTACTTTCATTATAGAGTCTGCTTCCTGGGGAACCCACGTAATAAAACAGTAGAAAACTGTCACAATGTAGATACCATGTCTTTGGGGGGTGGGGGGTCAAGTAGAGCCTTCAGGGCAAGTAAATGGTGTACTTGGCCTTAATGGGTACAACTTCCAAGGACAAGGAGCGAATGTGGGCCATCCAGGCACGGAACAGCGAGGAAATGCCAGAGACTGGGAATTTTCTGAGCACATTCTAATGGGGAGAAGTGGGTAGGACGGAATTGTGAAGCAGGAAACAGCCACAACCAAAACTACATTTGGTACGTTTGTTAAAACTAGGGAATTAGCCTTGGTGCAATACTACTAACTATACTGCAGGCTATTCTGATTTCACCAGTTTTCCACTGATAACCTTTTTCTGTTTTAGGATACCACGTTGCATTTGGTAATTGATTTTTAACATAAGTACTACAAATGGCACACAGTTCAAAAGATGCAAAAGTGATCACGTCCCAGCTTCCCAGTTCCCCTCTGGGAAGACAACCACTGACCAGTGTCTTATATATCCTTCTAAATATGGTGTTAGAGCATATACATATATAACTCTCCAATTTTTTTTTTTTACATAAATGGTAACATATATAACCTGTGAATGTCCTTAGCGTGTTGTTTTTTTCCACCTAAAACCATAGTTTGAAAGTCGTACTCCATCTAAACATCTAGGTCTATGTTTTTAAATGACTGCCTGTGTTCACTGTACTATAAATGTTAAGTATCAGGTGATTCTTACACCAGTTGGAGAACTATTATCCTAAATTCTTTTCAGTGACTCCTTAGTTCCTCTTGTGATGTCAGTCAGTCGCAAAGCAGCACCTATCCCTGATTTCCCCAGCTCCTTCAATCTGCCCTGACTTGCCAACAATTGGAGGAACGATGGAATCTCTTGCATTTTCTAAGCAAAAATCTGATCCATTCTGCGAGGCTAAATTGAGCATGTCTAGGGTTGCCAGAATTTTTTTATGGCAGATTCGTATACCCCTTATGAGCTCTAAGTTCTCTGTCCCTTTCCTGGCAGTCCTTCAGAGTTCAGGTCACGGACAGCTGTGCAGAAAGGGCTCACGGGGGCTCTTGGACAGGTTCCTGAAGCTGGGACCTACCTGCTCAGGTAGCTGAGGTGTGACAAGTGTCCTTTCATATCAGAGTGCTGTTACAGAAAGCTGTGGGCCCACGGAGGGTTATGTAACAGAAGCTCCAATGAGAAGTGGAGGCAAAGATGCACAATGTTGAAACTCCACTGGTCCCACCCGTGGCCACATCAGGCTGGGGAGACAGACCACGAAGTAGTACTACAGAGGCTTCTGCATCTGGGTGTTTCCTCAGCTGAGGAGAACCCTGGGAAGAAAAATTTAATTCTCGTGGACATAATGGGAAGACTGGCAACAGCCAACGACACAGTCAACACTTGGTGGGGAGGGGGACATTAACAAAAGTCTGACTCCAGGACAGTCTGAAGAGTTTTTAACCTTCCCAAAGATAAAACCTCAGAACCCAGGCTGCGTGGAACAGCAGGGGCTGGGAAGTAAGACCTGGCTCCCATCACCTGCCGCCTTGTCTCAGGTTCTCTCCAGCACTGACAATGTATGATTTATAGAACCAAAGCTAATCTGGGGTAAACTACTGCAGGGGCATTTAGTGCTGTTCAGATTCTCCACCTTCCAGGCACATGGGAGGATTGCACTTAACATGCTAGCCCCCTGGCGGTGCTGGTGTTGGTGGTGGTGGTGTGTGGATGACTAATTTTGGTCAATGAATTATGAAAGAGGCACAACCAAGCCAGAACCTCCAACAAGAGACCCTCCAAAGCTCTTTTCCCTCAGGCACCGCAACCAGCAACAGTCAAGATTGGTGACCACCAGCCTGTGTTCCTTTGATGAACACTGCTCCTGCTGACCTCTGGTGAACACGTAGCATAAACGGGGAAAAACCTTAGTTTTATCCAGGCAGTGGGTAAACATGGTGTGTCTTGAGTTTCCACTAATTTCCTAAGATACGTGGGGATTTGTTACCTGGTTAACACTGTGGGCAGATAAATGGAAACCTATCCAGGGCCTGCTTGGTTCGCTGCCCAAAATAAGACCCCCCCCTCATCAATTCTGTTTTCCCCTCTTCTGATCCCATAATCTGTAGTTTCTTTTTCCTAATTCATGTCCCCATTCCTGTTCCCTTCAAACTTTCCATTCCATGATTCACAAAATCTTCCATCTGTTATTCCCAAATTCATTCATAATCTTTTTAAAAATCTTTCTTTTTAAATTGAATTTATTGGGGTGACACTGGTTAACAATTATACCGGTTTCAGGTGCACAGTTCCACAGCACATCACCTGTACACTATTGTGTGTTCACCACTCCAAGTCAAGTCTCCTTCCATGGCCATTTGTCCCCTCTATACCTTCCTCCACCTCTAGCTCCTCCCACCCCCTTCACCCAGCAATCACCACACTTGTCCATGTCCATGGGTT